GATGCAGTCTATTCAGCAGTTATTGAAGATAATAAAGATGATGACATTCTGACATTCGGTTCTGTGTTCTGTGCTTCTCAAAAGAGCTTTCTGTGTGTGTTTAGCGAAAACTGTCGGGGCCGACTTGGGCTTTCGCCTCATTGGGGAGCAGGATCCTCGCACTTTCAAACACAAATTCCACAAGACGCCAATGCCCACGCCCTGGAAATGGACAAGGACCGGACGAGTACAGCCACTTGACAAACAAGTCGCGCGTATCGAAATCCTTCAATGTCATTTCCTTCAAGTTGTAGCCCATCCGCTGGGCCAGGTCGCGCAGCCCCTGATGACAGTCCGAATAAAGGAGGATACAGCTCAGGCCCGAATTCAGCCCCTGGGACTGCCTGCAACGGTGATCCCATGTATCCCATCCACGAATCTTCCTTGGCATTCCACAAGCGTAGCAACAGGCTCTGTCGGGGTATGCGAGGTGCACTGAACATTTTTTAAGTCTTGTCTCGTGTCCTTCGAAGTGACACCGCTTGCAACCACGATTAGATACGCATTGATGCCCGGCCTTCAGGACGGGTTTCGCCTGTCGAATGGTACATCGCATGCAGTAATCATCCATCAACTTCAGAACGCCAATAAACTTGTCAGCCGCCGCGTAGTTCATCAGATATTTTTTTTTTGTCCCCGATTTCGGCCGAAATATTGGGGCGACGTTGTGCCGATTCGGTGGCGTAGCCGCAGCAGATACCGGGGCTTCAGAGCGAGTGGTAGCAGTAGCGACAACGGTAGCGGTGCGCGTATCACTTGATGCTGCTCGTTTTGCTGCGGGAAGAGGCGACTCTGCTGCTTGAACCGCTGTTGAAGAAGCAGCAGCTGTGCACGTGACGTCCGATGCCGTTCGCTTGGATGTTGAGGGAGCAGGGCTTGTAGCGACGCCGTTGCCATCGTCATGATCGTCAGACCCAGGGGCACATGTACTTTCAGCAGCCAGCGGCACTCGCTTACGCCGCAGTGTACCCGAGGCTGAGCTTGCAGCCGATCGCGCCGGAGAGGAGGTTGAACCCGAGGCCGATGGTACTGGCACGCAAATGATCGAGGCCGACGGGGTTGGCGCGTGTTTCGTGGGGGTTGGCTGTGCTGCTGACTGCACGACTGGCTGTGACGTGCTCTCGCCCTCTGCCAACGTTGTTTGCACCGAGCCTCGCGCCTCTTGCTGTAAAGGCGCCTCATCATCAGCATCAGAGACCATGGGGGAAGCTGGCACCGACATGGATGCTGTATCTGCCTCATCAATCCAAGCAGCACTCGTCTGTATCCGTGGCACGGCAGCATCCGTCATAGGCCCTGCATTTGTCGCCATCACAGCCGTGTCTTGGGCACGTGGAGTGCTTCTGCTCGACTGCGCTGNCACGGCACCTGTTCCTGGGGACGCGACTGTGTCAACGCTCGATGCTGAAGTTACATCCAAAGCGGACTCTGGCCCGATCGATT